GCCCGGCACCCAACCCACCTCTCCCGGGCAGAGATGCCCGGCACCCAGCCCACCTCTCCCGGGCAGAGACGCCCGGCACCCAACCCACCTCTCCCAGGCAGAGATGCCCGGCACCCATCCCACCTCTCCTGGGCAGAGATGCCCGGCACCCATCCCACCTCTCCCAGGCACACATCAAGCCTTTGGACCCCTGACCAGCAGCTCCCAGTTTGGGCTCCTACTCATTCCTGGGCTCCTGCTACCCCCAAACCACAAAGCATAGCCATCAGCCCCCCATCAGCAGGAGCCCCCTTCTGTACACCACATCCGGCCCAGCTCTCTGGCCTCCCCCATACCGACCCCTCTTTCCCCATTGCAGGCACCGCTTAGAGGAAGGCCAGGCCACGAGCTGGTCCCGCCGACTCAAAGTCTTCCTGTGCTGCACGCGCACCAAGGACTCCCAGTCAGTAAGTATTGGAGGTGCTTCCCCAGGCTCACCACCCGCCGCTGCGCGAGTGTCCACGAGTCAGATCTGCTCCCAGGAGGACCTGCCCTTTGTGGCCGACCCCTACAGCATGTCAGAGAACCGGGTGGCTTTGCCAAGGCCATGGAAAGACCTGAAGGCCTCGTGTTCTCCCTGTGGGACTTACTCTCCCGTGTATGAGTCAGTTCCAACTCACAGCACCCCTGTCTGGGGGTTCCGAGAAGCAGCTGGTGGGTTTGAACCACCAGCCGTGACTCTGTGAAGGATCCCCAAAGAAATCAGAGTAGCCCAGGTGCCAGGAGAAGCAGCCAGTCACCACTGCAGCCTAATCTGGAACGGCTGAGGGGGCTTCCCAAAGAGAGAGGAGGGGTGGCCGGGGCCCTTGGGTCCTTGAGTTGTAGTGCCACTGACCGCCAGCACCCTCAGATGACCTCATTTTGCAGATCTGGCCCTTGAGGTCCACAGAGGCAGTGAGCTTTGCTCAGCAGCCCATAGCTAGTTAGTGGCAGAGCCAGTGAGACAGGCTTCAAAGCGCCCTCCTGTGGAAGACAGTGGGTAGGCTTCGAGGGGCTTCCCTAGCACAGCCCCTGGGGAACTGTGGAGTAACTAAGTGTAAGAAAGCCCCACTAGGTTCCTGGTGGGTGGGAGCATCCCACGGGTCTCTCTGGGGGGCCTGAGGAGTCACACATGATGTGGAGCCAGCCCCTGGCCGGCAGACACTGAGCTACCAGGCCTGTGAGGGCATAATGCAAAAACAGACAGACCGTGCTGGGGGGAGGGCACAGGGCCTAAGTTCTAGAAGAATCCTACACGCAGGTCAGACAGTGACAACCAAGGGTTAGCTGTGCCATACTTCTTACGGGCTGACTCCAACGCCCACATTTCAGAATCAGGGGTGTTGGGGACCACTTATGTCTGATTTGGGGTCACGAGCACTCTTGCTGGGCATTTGAGTGTGCTGCCCCTGACTTATTCTCACTGGGTGAAAGCACTGAGGGAGCTAGCCACCCTGAGCTGCTCCTCCACAGGTCAGGAAGGGTGCTGCCAGCCCATAGTGAATCAGGGAGACACACTGGACACCTCTCTGAGCAGGCTCGACCTGAGGCCCTCACCATGTGTTGTCCCCAAGGACACGGGCCTCAGTCATCCCCTTTCTTTAGGCACAACATGGGGGTCACTGAGTCAGCTGTCATGTGCAGCTATGTGTGTGGGAGTGGGGCAAGGTGTGGAGTCTCAACAGATCCACCCTCTGCTGCCAGGAGAGCTGGGGTGGGGCTCCATCCACGCTCAGCACCGGCTTCTGTTAGGAGGAAGAGGCTGGGAGGAGACACAGACGATTCTTGGTGTCTAGGCAAAGGGACAAGGAAATGGCTGACTGACCTCTGTGCATGGTGGACAGTGAGAACCAGAGAGGCACCAAGGAGATAAGAGGTCCCCTGAGCCAGGAGGCCGAGGCTGGAGCAGGATCTAAGGCCACAGATCAGGCCTGAGGCTTGCAGGGTGCCGGGCCAGCCATCGGGGTCAACTTGCACAGGGACCCAAAGCAGAGGAGGTCTCCCCATAGGTTCCCAGTCCTGGGGGATTTAATGCCTCCTCTCTCCTCTCCTGCTCCCCTGCCACCCGCCCCCTGCCTCCCCGGACTCTCCAGGACGCCTACTCGGAAATCGCCTACCTCTTCGCCGAGTTCTTCCGTGACCTGGACATTGTGCCATCTGACATCATTGCTGGCCTGGTGCTGCTCAGACAGAGGCAGCGGGCCAAACGCAACGCGGTTCTGGACGAGGTGCGCACCACGGCCTAGGCCTACCGCTCCCTTCCTCTCCTCCTGTGCCCCCTCCCAGCATTCCAGGCCACTCATGGCTGCTCCCAAGGCCTCCGTCTTCTGTTTGCTTGTCTGTCTCATCCCACCCACCAACACCCCAGTTCCAGCTAGGGTCTCTCAGTGGCTCGTGGATGACAGGGGAACAGTTTGGAAAGAACTGAGTTGGGGAAGAGCGAGAGTATCACGCTTCCTTCGCGCAGCAGGCAGTGGGCAGAGCGGCTCTGTCCTCACAGATACCTTTTCCAGGCGAACAATGACATCTTGGCCTTCCTGTCTGGAATACCTGTGACCAGAAATACCAAGTACCTCGACCTCAAAAACTCGGTGAGTCAGGACTGTTTCATCGTGCCCCCCCCCCCCGGCTTCCCGGGAGCAGACCACCCACCCACCACCCGCCCTGCAATGAGCCTCCTCCTCAGCTCTCTGCAGATCACACCCCATCCTTCCTCCTCGAGAACCCCCACACCCTAATGATGGGAAAAATGAAACCCCGGCCTGCTGGCTTCTCCAGGCTCCTCTGATCCCAGGCAAGCAGGGAGAGTGCTTTGCTTGCAGCTTTTTCTGATAGTGGGACCCTGCCTCCAGCACCTTGAACTGGGCAGGGGCCAGTCAGGGAACAGGTGAAGGACAGGAGCTTTGCTGCCTGTTGCCTGGCCCTGGATCTGGGTCCTCATTCTGCCAAGTCTGTCCCGTGACTTGGAAATGCTTCGGGTACAGGGATGCACAGAGCCGTCTGTCTGCCCATCTGTCTGTCCTGTACTCAGCCCCCCACCCCCCACTCTGCGGTGACTCTTAGAAACAGCTGGAGGCCAGCTCCTCTCCCCTGCCAAGGGTTGCCCAGGGGCTTCCCCGCCACAGAAAACAAATCTGGGGTCCCCAGGGGCCTCACCTCCCACCTGGCCCAGGATGCCCTGCCCCGCCTGCCCTGCGCTATGGCGCCTCCACACACGGAGGGTAATTACCTCCTCCTGCTGGCTCCCGTTCCTGAAGAGCAGACAGCAACTGGGGCCCGTTTCCGCCCCTCTGGGCCTTGATTAAGCTGCTACCTATTTTACTTCACACGACTAATCACCCTCTTTAACTTTTACAAGATGACTAATGCTTTCGTAAGTACAGAGAGGCCTCCATGCCTGGGGCCCTCAGATCAGAAGCAGCTTTGCTGGGACACCTGCCATCCTGTCATACCTCCTCCCTGCCCCCATAGCAGCTGTCATGTCAACCCCAGTATGGGGTGTTGGTGCCTTTCCTCCAGAGAGAACTCAAACTCCTGGAGACTTGGTCTGGGAGTCTCTGACCCCGAGAGTCTGCTGGACACGCAGAACCTGGAACTGGGGCCAGAGACAGAGCAGCGGATCGTGTGTCCTCCTGCAACAAACACTCTCCCCAGGGCCTGATGGCTGATCTACTTAGAGCTAGAGCTGCCCTGAGCCTCTCTCCTTCCTGGGAAAGCGGGCGAGGAAATTGACCCAGTGTTGGAGTGGTTTTCTGTCCCCAAATCATCCATTCTGAGAGTGGAGCAACAGGGCAGGCCCCAAGAGGATTCACGCCCTGCTGGCAGGGAGATAATTAGGGAAATGCAATTATCATCTGGAGGTTGGAGGGAGGGGGGGCGGCTGTGGGAAGGCTCGGAGGGAGGCAGTGGCCTGCTCCTTCTGGGCCCCCGAAGCTGAAGGCAGGACGAGCAGCGGTGTGATGGCTGTCCTCTGCCTGCTTCCTTCCAGCAAGAGATGTTCCGCTACAAGGAAGTCTGCTATTACATGCTCTTCGCCCTGGCTGCCTATGGCTGGCCTATGTACCTGATGCGGAAGCCAGCCTGCGGCCTCTGCCAGCTGGCCCGATCCTGCGCGTGAGTAGCCCTCTCTGCCCCCACCTGCCGCTAGGCCTGGGCCTGGTTCTAATGCTGGCCTTAGGAATCCAGAATCTTTGGGCGAAGTCAGCACAACTCTAGCCTCAGTTTCTCTGTCTGTAAAATGGGGCTGGGGACCCACGCCACATGGAAGTTGTTGAGAAACCGCATTGTATCTGTCACTTCTCTCTGCTCCTCTCAGTTAGTCCCTCTGCCCACGCCTGCCCTTCCCTCCAAGGCCAACCCAGAGGCCTCTGGGAAAACTAGCCCTTTAGTCAAATGCTCCGCCCTTGCCCTTGCAGTTAGTGGGGTTAGCGACACAACTTTCTTAAGTGGGCCAGATGGGGCGCCCAGCTCCACCGAGGCCTCTCCCTGTCCTGGTATCTCCGCCCTTGGCCTGGGCTGAAGGAGAACAGCTCCCTGGCCTCCCTGTCCCCTGGCAGGGCTGCGTGCTGGGCGGGAGTTTCCATCCACGAAGCCCAGCCCTCAGCCTTCAGCTGCCTCTCCCGCAGTGCCTCCTCTGGGCCTCCATCCATCTGGGCCAGGGCTTCAAACCAGTTCATTCCAACCCCACCCTCTGTGGAGAATTGGTCTTTCTACCGCAGATAGACTGAATCCGAATCTGCCTTTGAGCCAGATTTCCAGGTGATTCTTATGTGCGCAGCCGGAGATCTATAAGAACTACCTGGGAATCCAGCTCTCAGGTAGAGATGTTGTTTTTGCTAAGTGTAGTCAAGTTAGTTCTGACTCAGAGTGTCCCTGTGTAGGGTTTCCATGGAGTGGCGTGGTGGGTTTGAACTACCAATCTGGTGGTTAGTGGTCCAGTGCATAAACAAGAGCTCCACACCTGTACTCCGTATATCTAGGGGTCAGTATAGCTAAGATTGTTGGTGGTGGTAAATGCCGTCAAGTTGGGTCCAACTCATAGCTACCCTGTAATAGGGTCTCTGAGGAGCAGCTGGTGGATTTGAACCACCGACCTTGCAGTTAGCAATCCAGTGCCTATCCTACAGTACTACCACCCAAAGCCAGTTCTCCTCAGGGATGAAGCCAAAATGAACCAGTTGGAGCCCTGGTTTGGGCAAACTGGATCCTCCTCAGAACCTTCTATTCACCGTTCCCCGCTGCAGATCAGCAAGGAGCAGGGCACCTGCGACTCCCCCGTCTTCAGCAGCCCGCACATGGCTGGCATCATTCCTACTGCCAGGGCTCCTGCTGAGTCTGGGAAGCTTGTTCGTGAACACGGGACCAAGGTCCCAAGGCCTGTGACACCTACTCCACAGGCAAGACGTTCTAGAACCCAAGGATCACGGGCAGGCTGGTCTCATTAGTGTGAATAGGAGGAGTCTTGGTCTGCAGCAAAGAGAAAGAACAGCAACCCTGAGACCCCAAGTGCCCCTGCAGATGGAGATGAGGCAGGCTGGCCCCACTGCAGCCCTGGATCTCGGGGGCCAGCCCAGGCAGGAAGGACCACCCACCCTGTCGTTCTAGGGTCTTCAGCTCAGGCGATCCCTCACTTGGCTTTCTTGTGGACAAGAGATGCCAGGCAGGCACTCCCAGCCCGCTCCAGCCTCCTTGTGGTGGAATACTGCCGTCAGATCAGTAACAGCCCCTGTCTCTAGAAAGAGGCAAGCCAGTGTTTACTGAGCACCTGTGGAATACCAGCCCCTTTCTGCACCTTGGCGTTTGATGTCACGCCAGTCTTACGCTGAAGTAGCTGTGAGCACTTGTCTTCCAGAGCTGCACACGGAGGTCCCTCCAGGCCCTGGCAGCAAGCCCTCCTGTGTCCTGACCTTGTCGTCCCTACCTCATGCCCAAGAATAGGAAATGAGACCCCAGGGTCTTCTGAGACTTAGCTCAACCCTGACGTTACTCAGCGAGGCCTCTCACTGTTGGGAAGAGTTTGACAGCCCCACGGTGCTGCTCTGAGCGGGGACAAATTCCTCAGCATCCCTGAAACCCAGGATTCTTATAAAAGCTCAGCTGTCGGGGTCCCCACAGCTGGCAGGCAGTGTCACGTGAGATCGCTCGTGCTGGATCTGTTGGGTGCTTGCTCCCTCTGGTGGCCAGAGGAGCAGTTGCGCTCCCAGCAGCTTCCCAACTCAGAACTTCACTCATTCATCTTTGAGCTTCCTGGGTGTGTGATGGTACAGTAGTTAAGTATTGGGCTGTGCCCTGCAAGATCAAACCCACCATCCTCTCCATGGGAAAAAGATGAGACAGTCTATTCCTGTAAAGGATTTACAGTCTCAGAAACCCTAAGGAGCAGTTCCCCTCTGTCTTACGAGTCGGCGTTGACTATGGCAGTGGGTAGATCGGGTGTGGATTGTGGTGCCCGGGATATAGTTGTGAACAAGGCTGCCCACGTCTAGTGCGGACAAGCAGACAATACAGGCGCATGGCATGTCAGAGGAGATGGGTGCTGTGAGAAGCAGAAAGCAGGGTGCGTCGTGGAGCTGGGGGCTGGTTGTTTTAGGTGAGATCACGTGACAGCACATCTGCATAGAGACTGGAGGAGGTGATGGGGCACGTGGAACGCCGAGGACAGCACAGTGTAGACAGCCTGAGTAAGGGCAGTGTGCTGCGGGGGGGG